GAGTAGAAGATACTGTCGAGGCTCGCACATACTATTTACAACCATCAACACTGCAAGCAACAATAAGCCTCTAATCATTTGACTTTTGTACTCAAAATTCCTCTTCCTAGCTAAGATTTGCAAAAATTTTTGAAAATCCAATTTATAAAAGAACACATCTCCCTCCTTAATATCATCCATTTGCAAAAGTTCATAAGCTCCACAATAATGTTTATTATTGGTAAATACAGAAGAACATGAAATTAAAGAACTAGCTCTTTCATGACAAGGTTCAAACACTTTTTATATTGATAAAGGTCCATTGAAAATTGAGAAAATTAATGAAAAGTTAAAAAGAATAGATTTTCTCAATGAATTAAAATGCCATATCAAATTATTGTCATTTTTTACCTCTAAAATGCTATATGTTAAAGTTTTAATATCAAAAGAAACCATCAATTTGACCTCATGACCTACATTCAACTGTAATTTCTCACAGACAATTTCCATGACATTAAGATATGAAGTTGTATCTTCCTTAAGTACTTCAAGGTATAAACCATTGACATCACAGGTGTTCGAATCCTATTTTACATCATAAGAAATGACGAGATTAAGATTCCTATATCTACAAGATAAAATGATGTTAGTAAATTTTTACTAATATGACTTATGTATCAGTGATATATAATAGTATCTCACTGATATACTATTACAGATCAACATAATCAGACAGTCAGACATAAACTTATTTATCATTGATATACAATAGTATATCAATGATGTAGTTTTGCGTATTAGTAACACAAAAAATACATAATCATTTGACCAAAACGGATCAAATACAGTCTGTAAAAAATTATGGGCTCTTAGTTTATCATAGAGAATCAAATACCTAAATTAATAAAATAAAAGATCATGAACAATTTAAGTCTTCATTTGTTTGCTATGCTCTCTTATGTTTAGGATCTTCAAGCATTTGCAAAATCTAGAGCATTATAATTTTTAAAGGGCAGTTTTGTCAATCAAACTTTAGCTAAATATTAAAAGGCCATTATTTAAATTAAAAAAAGGTTGAACTATTATTTATGTTTGATCCTATGATGTGGGCTATCTTTGCAAAACTCCCACAAAATTGAAGGAATTATATATTAATACATATTACAAATAAAAATGCATTAATCATTTATAACTATTCATTGTACATCTTAGCAAATAATTTCACACTCTTGTTATTCTTAGAAAAGTAGTATGTCAAGCAGATATTGATATATCTAAAAATGTACCCAAAAAAATTGTTCTAAATTGATCCCTAAAACTACAAGTTAAGGTTATCATTGATCGGGAGAAAATTATAAAAAAAAATACATATTATCATACTTTAAAATTATGTCCCCTCTTGCATCTTCATTACCCCACCCATGTATCTTTTTTTTTTCTTTTTAATTGTTTATACAACTATATAATATTATGCACCACTAACAAATCAGATTTAGATATTTATTGTGGCTTTTTATTTTATATTTTAAAAAAATATGCATTCAACCAATTTTTTTATATATCATATCATTTTTATAAAATTTTTAGTTAATTGATTTTTTAATATAATTATCTTATTGGGTAGATTCGCGTATTATTAAGCTCAATTAAAAATAACTCTCTCAAGTACTTTTTTTCTGTCAACGCAGACTCAAATCCAGTACCTATAAACCAACTAAATTACATTATTGTCATTTTGTTATCTAAACATATGTGTGTGTGTGTGTGTGTGTGTGTATATATATATATAATAGTTTATAACACAATAAAATAATATATGATGATGATGATGATGTAAATATAGATAAATCTTCATGCAATAATCAATTTGATTTATAGTATTTTTTTCTGAACATAAATCCATTGTGGCTAAATTTAGGAGAATATAAATTCATGATTTGACCTGTCTCCTTCCATTGATTAAATCAAAGGATGAGGCATTCATGTTTAAATTAATTTTATTATGTGTGGGGTGACTTTGAAGCTGGTTCACTTGTTAGTGGTTTGTCTTCTGCCTCCACGCAGGTCTTGGTCCCAAATCCCATTTGAGATAATGTCATTTGAGAGGTCACCTTCATGTAAGTGGAGCTCAAGATAACTATTCCCAAACCAAATGACAAGTCATCACTTTTATTTCCCACATTTCCTTTTCAACACCTTAATTGTCCAAGTCATATAAAAAAACTCAGGTCTGATTTGAATTTAGATTTGAATTAAATTCATCTTTTAAATTCATTAAAAATTATAGATTACTTTTATCTTTCACATTTCCTTTTCTACACCTCAATTGTCTAAGTCATGTAAGAAAACTCAGGTCTGATTTGAATTTAGATTTGGATTAAATTCATCTTTTAAATTCATTAAAAATTATAGATTTGGATCTCCATCGAAAACAATATTTATTATAATTTTTTTATAATTACAAATCTCATATAGATTTTAATTTTTTGAAATGTCAACCATAGTAAATTAACTAAAGAGGCATCTGGACCTAGTAATGCTAGTTTTTTACAATATGAAAAATCAAGATTTGATTCCCCCTAGAAGAGGAGCCCGCATTTAATTTTTAACTGTGTCTCAAACAAGATTATCTCTAATAAGTTAACACCCATAAGCAAAAAAAAACAAAGAAATGTTAGCCATACTAGCCTTCTCATTCATTTGTTTTTCATTTCTCATCTCTTTGTTTGTTGTCATTAAATTTAAATTTTTTTTATCCTACCCACCAAACAAAAAAATTTTAATACATGAATTTTAAATAAAATATTTTAAATTTAAAATTCAAATCTAAATCCACCTATATCCAAACCCTACCAATTCCTACCAAGTTTGAACCTTCATGCGTTAATGGAATGTTGCAGAAGAGATGGTGACACAATATGGCTAGATACTTAGAATTTGAGTTTGTAGATAGTATTGTTTACTGATGGTTTGTTATCAAAAAAAACAAATAAAGATATTGATCAAAATATATGAGAGTATATGGAAAAGTGCCTTTGGTTTATATAACTTCACTCTTTTTTTTTTTAATTTTATCTACATATTTTTTATAAAATAAATTAAATTTAAAATTTTGTACATAGTGAGGATTTAACTATGTAAGAATTAAATTAACTATCAAATGAAATGATATGGGATAAAACATGGTTTTCACTAAAATACATGAAAACACATTAAAGGCGGAGAAATTTTTAGAGAGACCCGGTGTACAACATTATCCATGATCCATTCAATAATAACATGATATTTAAATAATATTAAATATAAATTAATTTTAAAATTAATAATAATAGAGAGAGAAAAGATAAGAAATTAAAAGGAGGCCTTACAGACAATTCATAGAGACTACAATATCTACCTAGTAAATTCAAATAAATTGTAGTACATAATTCTATTTTTAAGTAGGGCAAGACTTGTATACTTTTTTTGATAAGACTAAGAAATTCTTAGATAGACCAAGTCTCTAATAAGAGTTATATACTTAATATATTTTTATCCAATTAAATTAATACATGTAAATTTTATTATATTAATATTATTAATAACAAAAATATTTTATAGATCAAATAATTTATAAAAGATATACATGTTTTGATTTAATTAAAAATAAGTATGGTAAGTGTATAAGTTTTTTTTTTTCAAATACTTGTGTGAAATATAATTAACGCTGGATCCCCCTCAACCTCAATCCTTAGATTTGGATTCTTCAATTTATGCAGACAATCTCCTAATGTCATTACAGAATGACAGATCATGAGACTTATATAGTTGACTTAATATATATATTATTTACGCATAATCTGAAGTTGAAAGATATTATTGATTATTTACACAGAAAGTTTAAAATATATTATCACCGTTATATCATGTTGGTGCTTGCATGGTACGAGTAATAAATCATGTAGTGATTATCTAAGCAAATTTAAAAATTCAAGGGGTTATAATGTTAATTCTTTTTTTATAACAAAATGTTAACTTTTAAGTGTCAAAATAGTTACACATAATTCAAAATTTTAATAAATTTATATGCTTCTTAATCTAATAACACTCCCAGGATAAAGTTAATTAATTTTAATTCAATTCCCATAAAATTAAGAAGGATAAATGTGTATTTTTATTCCTAAAATATTCTTCAAAGAGCACCCAATATCCTAAACTATTTATTAAAATAATTTTTTTTAAATAATTAAAACAGAGCATTTTTGTCCATTTTATTAAATTCTCTAGAAGTCAATGTTAGAGTCCCAATTAATATTTCTAACAATCAATGTTGGAAGTTTGACGATAAAGGTAAAAATAGTCTGTTTTAATTCTTTTAATGACAAAATTGTTTTAACAAATAATTTAAAGTGTTAGGTGTTCTAAAAAAATACTTCAAGAGCAAAAATATACTTTTATCCAATTAAAAATTAGCTGCTTTGTTATAATAATTTTAAAATTGAATACACTTCCATGTTTACCCCTAATTTAACATAAAGTACTTCTTTTCTTAGAATTTATAAGACATTTTTTTGACACAATCAGGTGAAGTTAAATATATACAATTTACAGTTTTAATTAATTTTTTTATAAACTTTCAAAAATACCATTTATTAATAAGAGAAAGGGAAAGAAATTTATCTAATGAGTGAAATAATGAGAAGAATAATATTAGAATAATCATCATTGGTAAAACCTTAATCACCAAGTCAACTCCAAAAATATCTTACAGATTGTGCTGAAAAGATTATCTATTTTGAAAATATGTTAGAAGAGCATTTCTGAGAAGGACAAATATCCCAAAATCTCATGCGAAATTACATTCACTGTGAACCACAAATGTCTTTTAAAGATTTGACTTGTACGAAAGCAGCCAAACCATGACTCAGGGTCTAAATTGGAATTTCTCTTCATGTAACCGTGTCCATTTTTGGAACATAATGAATAATGAACAGAGACTAAACCAGGTTGATGAATATATAAGGAGTGTCGTACATGGATTGAACTTCATCCCACACACTTCACTCACAAGCTCTGCAATTCTCTGCTACTGCAGTACTCCCATATCACACAGAGAGGAATGAGAAATATGGGTGAAACTAAGCTTACAAGCAAAACTAAAGCAACCCATTTGTTATTAGTTTCAGTGATGATCTCTCTAAGCTCTCTTCTTGTCTGCTTTGGCCCTTCCTTGCTTGCCCTTTTCCTTCATTACTGCAACTTCAACTTCTCCTTCTCCTTCTCCTTCTCCTTCCCTTCCAAGATCTTCTCTCACACCATTGACAAGAACTGCATATTCCTCCTCTGTAACGGCCTCCTTGTTTTCCTCGGCATCACCACATCATTTTCCACCTCTAGTCCTCCTCATGATGATCTTTTTCATCATTATAGTCATGATTATGATGCTTCAGAAGATGAGGTGATCAGAGTTAGTGAGATAGCTGCAGAAATGATGCAGGAAGATGATCCTGACACTGATGCTGATGCTGATGCTGATGAAGTAAGTGGCGTATTATTGGGTTTGGAATTGAAAGAAGAAGAAGAGTGGTTGGAAGATGATGATGAGATTGTGGATGCAGAAAGCGTGGAAGATGAAGAAGAGAATTGGATGTTAAGCACAGAGCAGATGAACAAGAAATTTGATGATTTCATCAGAAGGATGAAGGAAGATCTGAGGATTGAAGCTAAACGACAACTAGTCATGGTTCATAATTAATTAGCAACAACCAGTTTTTTTTTTTTTAAATTAAAAAATTATATTAGTCTTAGGATTTCCAGGTTTAATTATATATTTTTAAGTCTTTTCTTCCCCTGTTCTCTACCATCTCTTGTATTTTAGCTACTTTGCTTGTCTTTATGGCAAAAGTGGAAGTTTAATCCTTAGGTTGCAAGGAATTGTTTATTATTCTCTCTTTCCTCTCTTTATTTTGAAATCCTTTTCCACAGTTCTCGTTGTTTTTCGGAAAAGTCACCTATTTAGTTTATATAATTTGGAAGAATAACAAAAAGTCTTAATTAATTCAAATTAAATTTTAAGTGTAAATTTTTAAAATTTACAACTCAATTTTTTAATTTTACAATTTTATTGTGATGAATTTATAATTTATATTTTAAATTTTAATAAAAAAATAATTTTTTTTATTCTTCAATCATGTTAAAATTTAAAAAATTAGTTGTAAATTCATCACAATACAGTTATAAAATTGAGAGATTGAATTGTAAATTTTTAAGATTTGACATTTAAGACTTAACTTGAACTAATTAATTCTTTTAATACCTCTTTGCCATTCTGCCATATAGCTTTGATTTAGTTAAAATTCAGTTTCTAAATAAACTGAATTTTAACTAGATAATTCAATTTTTATATTTTTCACTCAGTTGAAATTTAGTTTTTAAATTTTAACTCGCTACATGTAAAAATTATAAGGACCAAAATTATTTTTTAAAGGTTAAGGACTCATTTTAAATTTCTAAATCTATATGAACTAAATTGCATTGAATTAAATTTTAGAAATGAAATTTTAACCTAGTCAAAAATATAAGAATTTAATTATATCATGTTAATTGTTAATGTTTAAAAATTTAGTTACAATCGAATTAAAACTATAAAGATAAAATAATTAATTTTTTTCTCATTTTTATATATGTTGTCTGGAGAATTAATTATATATTGAAGATTGAGGTTCCACATTAATTATTTTATTTAGCAAATTAGTAGGAGCAAATAAATACCGATGGCTTTTTGACACATAAGCAATGGAATAAAATTTTAAAATAACTTGATAAACTAAAAGTATAAAATTATGTTGAAATTTAGAAATTAATATTTTAAATTACTAAAAATTTTAATTTTATAAAGATTATAAAATTAAAATTTTAAAATAAATTTAAAGGATAATGCAATTCTTAGTTCTTACATTTGGAGGTTTTATTGATTTGGTCTCTTAAATTTAATTTCTATCATTTCAATTCTTAACGTTTATTTTTATTATTAAGTTAGTCTTTTAATTTTTACAAGACAAATTAGTCCTTAAAAAAATAATATGAAAATTAAATTGCTGACATAGAATATACACGTGGATAAATTAAAACCACATGAGACAAATGGCTAAGTCTTAATTATCGATATGGCATTGCATGATTTTAAAATACTACGTCAACAATCTAGTTTACATGTCACCTTTTTTGGAGGACTAATTTGTCTTGTAAAATTTAAAGGGATAACTTGGTAATGAAAATAAACATTAATAACTAAAATGATAGAAATTAAAGTTGAGGGGCCAAATTGAAAAAATCACTAAACATAAAGGATTAAAAGTTACATTATTCATACGTTTAATTTTTATAATTTTATTTTCTAAAATATAAGGGCTGAGTTGTACTGAATCAAAGTTAAGAACTAAATTATAACAAAGTCAAAATTATAAGAATTAAATTATTACAAGTTAAAATTTAATAACTAAATTACAATTGAGTCAAATTAATAGAAATTAAACGATTAATTTTCTCTAATATATAACAAATGGTTATTTATATAGGCAGGGTGAAAAATTATAATCTATAACACATTGTTTTAAATTTTAATTTGCATAGAGAATACTCCCTCCATTTAAAAATATAAGATATTTTTAATCAAATTTTATCTCCAATAAAATAGTTATCTACTTTCAAACTAATTCTATCTTTTCATATTTATCCCTATTAAATATTTTACAATAAATATAAAGTCATTATCAATAGGAGCACTTAAAAAAAAAGGCAATAATTACACCTCGAAAGACTAAAAATACCTTATATTTTTTAACATCTAATTTTTTAAAAAATACTTTATATTTTTGAATGAAAGAAGTACACATTTTGAAATAACAAATTATTCTTTATATTTTTAGCATACATGGGATATTAAAATTCTTAATTAATTTATATGAATATAAAATAAGTTATTGTTCATATTTTTAATATACATAGGATAGCATATTTTAAAATAATTTGTGTAAGAATAGAACAAATTGCTATATACACAAAAACACTTGGTAGAAAAAAAAAATTTTGGAACAACGACACAGCAAATTTTAAAAATATTTACATTTTAAATATAACTATTAGTTTGTAATAGAGTTGTCAATTAAGGTTGAACATGTAGGGCTGATCCTTTTAAAATTGTAAATATTTAGGGTTAGGCTGGGACTTTAAGATAGAAAATGGTAATTCAAACCTAAAAAGGTCAACTCTTAAAGCCAAAGCCAACCCCTTTAAACTCTTTTATTATTTTTCTTAAGGGACAATTATATTGAAATCTGACACAAGAGAATTTATTACTGTAAAGTTTATTGATAATTAAACTAAACTATATTGACAACACAATTAGTTGTTAATGCAACTTAGTTCAAATGTTAATGGACATTACAGTAATTAATTTCCTTGTGTGGGACCTAACTGTAATTCTCCCTTTTCTTAAAATTTTAATATGAAAAAAATAAAAGACTAAGTATCTAACTAAAGAAAATGAAAACCTTAGACTCATTCCCCTCCCCCTCTCATTCATTCTTCAAGATTTAGCTGATAATGTTAGCAAAGTCTAATTTTTATTGGTATAATTTTTTGTATTACTATTTGACATTAGACTTGAATGTTTAAGTTTTATATATTTATTATGGTATGAATTGACTTGAATTTATTTTCTAAACATATTATTATGCATAATATCTTTTTTAAAAATTATAAATATATTTTTTAAATTTTTAAATTAAAAAAAGTATAAAAAAGGACTAAGGCCCTGAAGGCCAACCCTTTAATCCTAAAGACGAGAGCTAAGCTTTGTAAGAGAAAATTTTGAGATATAATTAGACTTATTAAGGTTAGCCCATTTTAAACCTTAGCTTTTCAAAGACCAACCCTATAAGGATAGGTTGTTGGTAATTGATAGCTCTAGTTTGTAGTTGAAATTTTTATTTATAACTATTTAAATTAACATTTATACTTTTTTAAAATTATAAAAAATTTAACTGTCATAAATTTCTAATTTTAGAATTTTATTATCATTCTCCTAGAATTATTGGTATTGATTTGACTCATTAATCCTCAAACATCCGAACACGATACAAAAATACAACCGAGAGCACAAGACAAAGTACGTACTGAATTTATATGTCATATTGGCACGCTGAATTGATACGTGGGATGAGTAATTACTAGGACTGTGCAAAAATATTCCGATCTAATCTAAACTAATTTGATTCGAGATGGTTTTGTCCTGTCCAATTCGTATAAACACTGGTCCTTTAGGATCAAGAAGACCGAAAAGATCAGACTATTTTTTTGGATTAGACTAGATAAGAGACTGGGTATCTAGACCAGTTGATCTAGTCCGATTCTATTAATTTATTTAATATAATTATAATTAATTTATTTTTGACAAATGCTTTAAGTGTAATTGTAGCTAGGGAGTTGATTGTATGAAGATTTATGGGGTTTATTTTTAAATTATTGTTGTAATATAGTGTTGTTAAAGTTTGTTAAGTGCTGTTTTTGTTGAGGTTATAAATTTAAATCATTTGAACTGCAATTAAAATATTTTTTCTTATTATTAAAAATTATTATGAATTTATTATGTAAAAGAAGTGTTGTTATTATCTTAATTAAGTTTATTAGGTTGAAATATATTATTCCATCTCATAGAGGAAAAAGGGAGAAAAAAATAGCTAAGTAAGTACTAGACTACTAGGATCAATCTCTCAGTCCTATGGACTAAGTCTAGTTCTGTTAATCTTTGGGTTATCACTGGACAAAACTAAACTATAAGTTGCCTAAACCAATTCTTTTCATGAAAAAGACCAGATTTTTTGTTAGACTGAAATTCAGCGTCGTCCAATCTTTTATACAACTTTAGTAATCATGCCCCACTTGTCACTTATACCATGCCCATGTGTTTCAAACATTTTTACGTAGAATAAGAAAAATTGCTAGAACATTTTATTTGTTTTAAAATATTTTAATATTTTAATAACCAGTATATTTTATTTAATTAATAGAGAGAATCTCATCATGATTTGTTGGAGTTATAAGAAAGCTATTAAAATAAATATTATTTAACATTCTGACTAGGTATTTTATAATTTGGACCCATTTTTATTTTTAGAAGGGACCTTAATTACATAATAATATAAGGGATTAGGGAGCACCATGTTCTTTAGGGTTCTTTTAGATAAGTTTATGAGATACCACTTAAAGTCTACAAGTCATATTTTAAAAAAAATTTAATGATTTTTTCTAAGTTACTTTTCATCAGAAGATGAACTGTTAGCTATTAGTACTTTTTTTTCAATATTACTCTTTTTTTATGAATAGTATGATAATAAGTTATATATATGAGAAAAATATTTTTAAGCATGATATATTTAATAAGGATATCTTGTTCAAAGACTTCTTCTTCTTCTTCTTTTTTTTTTTTGGGGCAACCGAGACCCCATGCTTAAGTAGTTGCAATTTCTAATTTTTTTAAAAAAATGAAATAAGAAAATATATTGCCTTATAGCAAGCCTTATGCTCGATGGCAATACAATTTCCAATTATTTAGAAAATATTATATGCATCAAATATTAGCTAATGAAAAACATGATAATCAAATAGTACACGCACTAAACCAAAATATAACTTTTACCACATTAATTTACGTCAAATTATTAAAAAAACACGTGATGTAAAAAATTGACAAGTGGCATTTTTATAATTAACTGTTAAATAAATGTATATATCCACGTTGCTTTTTCCAAAATGGATTAATGAGGATTTTACACGTCACTTTTAACAATGTTGTCGATCAATCAATTCACTCCACTTCATATTATATTCCAATCACTTCATTAAAATTAAAGAATAACAACTAACTCATTAAATATTTTAAAATATTTTTCCTCAACTTTATCTTTATTAAAAATAGGAGGAGATAGATATACTATATGATGGGCTTTAGAATTAAATTTATAATAAAGGTAAAATTGAAAAATGTTAATAAATAATTATCCTTGTGTTTTATATTAGGAATCAAAAAATTCTTTTTCAATAAGTGTCCTGTAATAATAATAAAAAAAAATACTTAGATCTATGTCCCTTCCAACAGCACGGTAAAAAGCCCTCCACAATTGAAAAAAAAAAATTTGGCTGCAGCAGTGAGATGTTGAAGTTAATGCAATGAGTGAGTGATGGGACGATGTTTGTGAGGTAGCTGTTAAATCTGCAAAACCAGCCACTAGTGATTCTATGTGCATTTAATTCTCTTCTCTAGCGAAGCCAAATTAGTTGGTTGGAATTGTCGATGGTGATATTGATTCACAAATTTTGATGGATTGATTGATATATAGAGCTCATCCAAGGACCTGCTGCTTTTTGACGTTATTGGTATCTCTTAAACATCATGCAGATATGAATCCCATCAACCTCAAAACTAGCACATAGACTCCGGAAAAAGAAATAAAAAAAACACAATTTTTTACCACTATAATTTTTTCAAGTTTCACTTTTAACTCATATAGTTTTAATTTTTTTTCCATATTTTTAATTCTTATAATCACTGAAAACACTAAAAAAATCATAAGAACCTAAAAAACAAACATCATCTAATCTTTTTAAAATTATAAAAATTAAAAACACTGAAAAAAAAATACAAGGATTAAAAGCAACATTTAATAAAATTATAGGGACTCATGATTGTTTTTTTTTTTCTCAATATACGCACTCCATCCATCTCTATATATAAAAAATTTTTAATCAAATTTTACATATTAATAAAAATTTATTATTTAGTTAAATCATATAACATTATAATAATTTTTCAATCTTGTCTCTAATAATGTTATAATAAATTCGTGATAATGATGAGTAAATCACGCAATTAATATTTTTCTCCAAAACTATTTAGTTTACTTGCGAGGTTTTAATTTGATGACAAAATTATTTTTCATATTTTAATCCTTTTTTTTTTTGCATTTCTTATGGGAAAATAAGAATTAGAGACCTTGTAAAGACATTAATAATAATTAAAGACCTTAAAATATTGAAATATCAAAGAAGAGCCATGATCTTTTTAGGTAATCAAAATACTTCTAATTATTCAAATAATTAATAAAAGGTAACTCATGAAATTGAAAAAAAAAAATGGTTATAAATTTAAGGAAGTTCAACTGTAAATGTATAGAAAGTCAATTATGTTTGGCAAAAAGGAAAAAAAGTCAATTGTACATGGGTCAATAATTTCATGAATATATATCTTGTTAGTTGTAATTTTAAGAATAATTACTTGTGAAATTGTGAAATATTGCTTATGAATTTATAGAATATTAACTGTGAATGGACATCTAGAAATATGAGATGATCCCTGAACCATTGATCTACAATTAAGGGCATGTGTGGATAATTTCAATAATCAATTTTAAAGATCAAAACTATAATTTTGTGAAAATATATACAAACAACTATATTACATGTTAAAATCAATTATAAATGGAATAATAGAACTTTTCATCTCTCAAGTTTGCCTCAATCATCGATTTGATCATTCAAATTTAATTTTTATTAATTTGATTCATTATGTTTTTTAAAATTATTATGTGAGTTCTTTAAGTTTTAAAACACAAATTAACTCTCAAAATAATCTAATGTGAAAACTAAATTGATGACTTAACATCTATATGTAATGAAATAAGAAAAAATCAATTCTCAAATCAGTTTAACTTTTATAAATAAAATCATGTAAACTGTGCTTTGTTTTCTTTTGTTTTTTAAATTTTAGAGTATTCTTTCCTACCAAAATAATTACATTTCTTTTCATTAATTTACATGGTTTTCATCAATATTCTATTATTTATGTCAACAAATTTTAGTAGTTAACTCTTTTTTTAAACAATTGATAATAGAAATAAATTTAAAAGACTAGATCAATAAAACTTAAATTTGAGGGACTAAATCGATAAGTGAGACAAACTTTTAAAAGTTGTATTATCCCATTATTATTAATCTAAACCATGTTTTTCTAAAAATATTGAAGCACCAATTACACACGTCAAAATTAATAATGAATCCAAAGCTACAATTTTCTTAAAATTATCCAATGCATACCAAAATCAATTAAATTTGGCTTAAAGAACAATTTTACCCTTAAAGCTTGGTGGTCCCCTTAGACTTTAGTCCTGTGAATATCTCAAATCTGGACACCATAAGTTTTAGTAGGTTTTTATGAATTCTTTTTGAATTGTTTAAGCAAGAATCTCCATAAAGCTTGGTGGTTCCCTTAATCATCTTACTGTCCATAATGGGTAATACGCACTTGTATTTAGTGAATGTGAACGAGTTTGACATGCATTTAGCTTCTATGTAATGGATACTTTAACATTTAACTTCAATTCGACCGAATATGGAGTTATATTCTGATTTGATACCCACCCCTCACCCAAAAACAAAAACAAAACAAAACAAAACTTCTATAGCGTGTAATATATAAGGTGTGAAGTACATGGATGCTTCTAGTGGCATGAGTAAGTTGATAACTTTAGTCAATATTACAATATGACTTTTATATTACGTGTCTAAATGATTACGATTATAATTGGTGTCTGGAACGTTCAAGTAGTGAAGACAATGGCTTTAGCATCCAATATTTTGAAAGTAATAAAGCATATGCACTTTATAATGTTGAAGATAAGGTTTAAATGGCATGTTGGTTCCTAAATTATAAATCCAAAAATGTCTAAAACTCTAAACTTGTTTTTGGTACAAGACTCTTATTTAACTTTTTAAAACAGTACAATATTGCCTATACCGTTAACAAATATTTACTTTGACCATTAATTTGACCCAAAAAATTACAAAAATGACCAAGAAAATTTTTTTTTGGACCTTTTCTATAATTTTCAGAGTCAGTGTATGTAACTTCTGATCATTTTTTGTAATATTGTTACTCTTTTTTGATAATTTGTATGTCTTTTTTTGGTCAATTAATAGTTAAAGTTAACTTTTGTTAATAGTACAGGCAATATTGCACCATTTTAAAAGTTGAAATAAAACATTGCATTGAAAATGAATTTAAGTTCTCAGACATTCCTAAAGCAATAGTTTAAAGATGAAAAACCCCTTAACCCAAGATAATATGGGTGCCTTAGACACTTTTGAATGATGACAATGCAGGATCTCTCTCATCAAATCGTAATGCTGATTCACTAAACTTTCCCGATGAAGATGAATTGGATGAAGTTGTAAGCACATACAAGGTGACACAACTAATTTACAAGCAGCATGTAAAATTGTAAATGATTAAATTCATTTTGTTGTGTCATACTCTAATCATGACTATCTAAGATGGATGAGGTGCCTGAGCAAGAGTTATATCAGAAAGCGAGAGAGTACCAGATTGATCAACATCAAGCTCCTCAAACTCCTGCATTACGAGTGAGATATCTTCTTCACTTATCTTCCCCATCTCTCTCAGTTTATAGATAACGAACTCAGCAACCCTGAGAGCAACAACAAAAAAGAGATTTACTTGAAATTAGACCAGCTAACTTACAATCACACGTGTTCAAGCTAAACCTCGTTCTTACATGATTAGATTTTCTGAAAAAGAATCTCACTTTACAGAAGATAGAACAAATTCTAGAATCCTGTTTCCGTATATTAACAATCTGAAATCGAACACATCAATCCTTTTCTTTGAATTAAAGTAAAGAATTGTTCAAGAGAAGCCCATTCCCATGATATGATAAATCATACAGTATGCAAACTTTGAACGCAACTGAGGCACTTGACAGAAAGACTAGTTTGAAATGAATTAGATGCTTGTAAGCATTAATGTATGAGCTAAAAAATATGGAGTACTAAACCTAAGTGGGTTTTTAACTCCTTGTATTTCTTTTGGCATGGCGTATTTTTCAGTTTCACTCTGCAAATTCAACCTTTTCTCTAAGAAAGGAAACATTAACAAAAATATTCCTTCGACAGAATTAACTAAGGCTATGTTTGGTTAGAAGGGAGGGAAGGTAAGGGAGGGGGAGGGGAGCCCCACCCCTCCATTTTTTTTTTTCCATCCAAACAAGGGTTTAAAATTTTCTTTTCCCTCCCCTCCAACCAAACATAGTGTAAGGGATAAATTAGCTATAAAATGACTGACAAGTTCTAGAAAAAAAATCCTTATTTCATGGTTAAAACAGACAAATTCAATCAACCAACAATTTTTTTTTTTTTAAACTGCAGTAAAATTATACTTATATACCTGGCATTCCTAGCCTTTAACTATAGACCAAAATGGAAATGTGCTTGGCTAGGGTCTAAGACCAACAATTAAAATCCTAGCCCAAGGGGCCAACCCATGAAGAGACAGAATATGAAGTACAAACAAACAAGATTTTGAAGAATGATTAACTTACCCAACAGTTCCATCATCATCAAGATCAGCTGCCTCCAAATCCGCTTTGGTTGTCCTCCGTGTAAGAACCATCTTAGTGATATCCTTTTGTCTTTTTTCAGTGGTCAGCTCAGCTATGTAAAGGAAGAGCTGACCTAAACAAATAGGACCTGTCAATATCCAAAACACAGCAAAGACTCTTCCTCCTTCAGTTGAGAAGCTTTTATCACCGTAACCCAGGGTTGTTATTGTAGAACAAACACAATAAAAGGCATCGATAACATCCAACTTCTCAACAGAAACTAAGAAAATTGTCCCCGTAACAATGAGCACCAAAAGTAGGAAAAATACCACAAAAAATTTATATCTCGTCTTATTGACCTCAACCTCCTTTAGAATTTGAGTTGGACCAACTTTATTGTGCCTATGCAGAGCTTTGATTAGCAAAACTTCCTGCTTCTCAACCAAATAGTCCGCTGCTCTGCTTAAGATCAAACCAACTAGTGCCATTCCTGTGAAGACAAAAGCACAGGCAAGTAGTTTTGTGAGGTCACTATTTGGCACAAGGTCTCCATATCCAACTGTGGTCATTGTGACAATTGTAAAGTATAAAGCATCAAGAAACCCCTCCGTTTTCTTTCCTGTGATCTGCTGCCTGACAAGATAGAAGATCACAGCTCCAATACCTAGATACCCTGCAAGATATATAGCCACCTCTTGAAAACTTGGATGTAACTTCCCAAATACGGAGTTGGAAAGTTGAATTGAACCAGCGCCGATCTTCTCAAGAGGGTCAAGATTCGCAAGAGGAGCACTTCTACAACGGACATGCCTTCTCCTGCTAAGCTGGCCATTGGTATTTGGAGCGGATGGATCAGGAGATTGGGGCAACAAGGGCTCCCTTGTACCGTTGCTGGCCATGTAGACAACTTAGAAAGGGAGGACCAATATTAAAAGACCTGATTCAGTTACAGAAGGTTATGAACTAGCAATCGATGCACAAAGTATGATGTGAAGGCATTAAAGTTATGGAGCATATAATTCATGAAACACCAATCGCAGAGTCTCCTGCAAAGCTTCACTGAAACAGGATCTTCACAAAACAACATGCTTGTATTTGAATCTGATTAGCATAAATACAAAATAAGACAGTTGCCTCATCACATTATGAACTACTTTAACTTCATAGCAAAAACTGATGAACAAAGACTGACAAAATTTATTATAATTTTAACACGCTTCTTATAGGGAACTTTGTGGGTCTTATGCGTAAATAAAGCACAACCTCACCTACCAGCGGTGAAATTTCATTTAACTAAGAAAATTGGGGTGGCAAAGATCGTGCACTTGACCACTTAATTAGAGCTTAGTTGTTATGATACCAGTGATGAAACCACAAGATGTTTAGTAAATGACCATAAATAATGTTTTTACCATCTCCAGTACATCAGATACAGCATAAGCTAGACTATATCTCCTAAGTACCAAAAGAAAATAAATCTTGGATATTTGAAGACGACAAGGCAAGAGGTTTTTCTTTGACTTAAGTATTATAACAACAGGAAACGATTGGAATTGCAGCAACGAAGAGAGCATAATGATGTTTTTTTACCTTCCTATTCAGCAAAAATATATGACAACTATGCAAATAAAGCACTAGCAGTAGATGTGAGAGATTCTAAAGCAATACAACTAAGCAACAACAGAGACACTAAATTTCTGAAACACCATTCATTCTTCCTGCCTTAAATCCATAATTTATTGGGGGAAAAAACAAGAACTTTGTTAAAATTTTACATGTCTTGTCAAGTTCATGACATACTACACATGCAAATAAAAGGAGGCAAACGGAACTAGAGAAAGAAATAAAAGATGACGGTCTAGCCTTTTTAACTACCTCATCCAATGACCTCAACTATGGACGTTCAATCTACTCCTAAATCAGGCAAATGTTTATAAGTTTATGCCTTCAGAATCGTGGATTATAACAGCAAGAAAGATTGAAGAAGTAAAATAAATACAAGAATCACCGTCAGCAGATCAAATCTACTACAACTGGACACAAAAATGCTTTTTCTCTCAGCCAAGTCAAAAGAGACGCATCAATTATAAGATAAATCGAATTAGTTAGGATCGAGCTTTTAAGACACAGAATAATCATGATGCTACATAACTGCCGCAAATGCATTCCGTTTCAAGGGTCACAAGAATTTCAGCGATAGCTACGTCGCTTCAACATCTATACACCAAAATTGACAGAGGGATGAGATCAGTAGCTACAGGAAGGGATCTCAAAAACAGGAAACACTTTCTGCTAACTAAGCAACACGAAGTTCCAAATCACTAGGAGTTTAACGTGCAGAAATAGACATTCAGAATCTGAAGATTCCATGCCAAAAATGAAAATAAATCCGAAAGAATCAAATCTAAAGTGAAAATGATGCTCAGAGGGTAGAGTTCACCTTTGGAAGAGAAAACGAATGCAGAATCTTCGTAGGGCTCCTGAAATTCGGACAGATCCTGTGGAATGGAAGGACAGTGAGCAGTTCGCACTTCATTAATCATTATCATTACAAAATTACACGAAAGACAATATAAATATATATACATAAGCCTTTCATTCGGCAAGGAACAGAGTAATACAATTTGGCAAGGAACAGAATAAATTTACTAATTATAAAAATTAGATTAAACAGGTTATTCAAAGTAAGAAATTGACTTTTAAAATAATCAAGTGGCAAGAGAATCGATTCATTTGACTTTAAAAATTAAAAAATTAAGAAATAGATTCAAAATTAATGTAAAAAATATATTAAACTGGTCAATCAAATTCAAATTAGAAAATGGTTCAAGTTAGTTTGAAAAATGATTTTAAAAAAAAGACCTATATCAGTCTGAAAACGAGTCTAAATCAAATCAAAAATAATTCGTTATTTTTGTTACTTGCATAATGTTGTATTAATTTTTATATTTCAAAATATTTCTATCAAGAAAAAAATTATAATAAAAGACTCCACCAAATTTGTGTTTGCTCACAAGAACTTAGGATATTAGGTCCTGCCCTAGAATTAATCCAAATTTTTAAATGATTAAATTGCCCCTATGATTAAAAAAACAACAGTTGAGCAAGGTATTTTTTGCCATCTATATATCACAAGATCATTTGCTATCAATACTTAATACAAAGTCTTTCAGTGTTAATATATCAAACAAGATCTTTCTATGATAATTTATTAAGTTCTGAAGCATGTTTAAAACATATGTAATATTTCTTTTATATATTTAAATATCACGTTTGGATATTCAAATGTTCATTATTAAAATCCTTTAAGGATGCTTTTGGATGTATATGTGATGTTTCTTCCACAATATATGACTATCTTCAGCATGTGCAATATTTCTTTCATATATTCAAATATCACTTTTGCATATTTAAATGTTTCTTGTTAAAATCCTTTATAGACACATTTGAATGCATATGTGATGTTTCTTTCATGACATGTGACTGCTATTAAGCATATATAATATTTCTTCCATATATTCAAATATTAATTTTACATATTCAAATATCCCTTGTTAAAATCCTTTATGGACACCTTTGGATGCATATGTGATATTTCTTTCATGATATGTGATTGCTCTTTATCATAAATGATGTTTATTCTATACATTCAAATATCACTTTTGCATATTAGAATATCCCATGTTAAGATCCTTGTGGATATTTGGATGCATATTCGATGTTTCTTCCAAAATATGCAACTGCTCTTCAACAAAAATGCAATTTTATTTCATATATTTGAACATCACAAATGCACGTTCAAATAAATGAAAGAACGATTATATTTTTTTAAAGGGTGATTGCATTTTGTGAAAAAAAAAAAAAAGTTGCATGTGGTTGAAGCTGCATGCATATAGTCCTAAAATATGACATTAAATATAAAATTTTTAGGATATTCAAAATGATTATTTGAATAAATAGAAAAAAAATTCATTTCCTTTAATGGTAGTTGCATATGATGAAAGAGTAGCATTTGATTGAAGATACTTGCATATGATTATAAAACATAACAATAGATATAAATTTTTAGGATATTAAAAATGGTTATTGGAATAAATGAAAACTAAATTTTATTTTCATGATATCCAAAATACCTATTTGAATATATCTTAGAATTTGAGGTTTAAATATTGCACTAATGTTGTGTTTTCAAAATATTATAAATGTATATTTTAAAAATATTTTCGTATGAAAATACTAAATGATATTCTAAAAATGTAACTAGATATTATGAAAATTTGCTCATTTTTTATTAAAATGCATATGTATGTTCGGAAAATGTAAATGAATATTATGAAAAAATGTTCATTTTTCATGAAAATGCAAATAATTATGCTAAAATTTTACTCTTTTTTTTTTTTACAAAAACAACCCATAGATATTCTAAAAATTTGCTTATTTTTCATCAAAATACTAAAGGATATTTTCAATAGTCACTATTATTATATATAAAGCTTAATTACGCTAACTTAAAGTATAAAGAATAACAAATGAACACTAACAAATTCATTTATTATTAAACAATAACATATTTTTATATTTTTTTGATAACATAAACTATATTACATTACAAGACAAGAATCATAACTTACATAATGGTATGAATATTTATAAAAAGTGTATTGCTTTCAACCCTCTCCCTCTTCTCTGGCCAGCTTCGAACATGGTACCTCATGAATTTGTCATTCAATGATCGACCATGAGCACCAATGTGCCGGCTATTTATAAAAAGTGTATTGATCTGATCAAGGAATTAGTCATTTTTATGTAATAAGAGTGTATTGTTCCAAACTAAAACTAACTAGCCAAGCCTCATGATATACATCAATCATGCTAGAGAAATATAAAGATTATTGAACATAAAAATTGATCATACAAGCTCATAAACCTACAGTTTGCGGCAGTTCCATTTCCATTGCTTCCATTTTCAAGTGGCATGGACTTCCTGGAAGTTGTAAATGGTGCCGATAAGGATAATGATGAAATAAGAAAAGAAAAATATAAAAGCCAGCGAAGATGAAGAAGGATGATGATTGGAGAGGAAGGAGAGGTGATGATGAAAGGAGTGAGGGAGTAGCAATCTGATAAACAGATTTTAGGGTTCATAATTCAAAGTAAGTGGTGTAGGATTGAAACAATTGTCAAAGAAGGAGGATGAGTGAGAGTCGTTGTTCACTGCCAACCTTACCTTGCTCACTGCCGTTGCCATTGTCATCGGAATCACAACTGACCAAAACACTGTGACAAATCAATCACATCGCACGAGACGGGCTACAGAGGATAGAGAGTGAGATGATTTGTGAGGAAAATTTAATCATTTAGTCATTTCATTTAATGACACCACAGGACCTTAGTCCTTTTCTAATTACCAAGTTCCTCTTCACAATTAAATTTGTGGTTAGATATTTTAGGACAATTTTCCCCTGTATCTATCTAAACTAATTATATATATATATATATATAAACTAATTGTATTGCAAAATACATTACATACATAATTAATATATCAGATTGAAAATATCATATTTTAATTTGACTACACTAAGCTATTATATTGGGGTACTTTTTATGGCCATGAGAGAAACTTTTTGCATAAACTAAGAAAAAATGCAAATATAAGGATGGCTCGTATTCGAGAGAAAGGGTGAATTTAATGTTCAAAACATTTGCTTAAAGAGACAAGAGGATATTAGAGTAAAAAATTGGAAACCGTATCATTTGAAATATGAGATTTGTAAGCAAAATAAGAGTCCAAAGAAGAAGAAAGAATACAAAGAATTTATCTTAATTCATTCCAAATATTTAACTTACATCCAATATCTAAGTAAACATTTGAGATTTTTTTAATTATCTTGTTCAAGTTTCACCAGGTACTTGCAAGTTAGAACCAAAGTATTATCTCAAGACTTATTATTGACCTCTTACACAATCCACACTAATTGTATTCCCAAGTTTCTATCAAAGTTTTCCTTAATGTGTTAACAATAGAAGTTGACACGTTAAAATTTTGACAGAAGCAAACCTCAAATTGTTTGAAAAAAAATTAAAATATTAGATTTTTTTGCAAAAAGAAACAAAGTTTTCAAACCAAGATTCAACAATTTCGAATTGAAAGTAACAATAATTGCTTTCTTTACCAAGCAACTGTTATTTAACATAAAAATTTAAAATTAAGTAATAACTTTTGTTAAAACCAATTAAACATTTTCGACCAATTAGCTTATGGAATGTTATTTATAAGACTATTATGAAATGAAAATCATTTCCAACCATATATAGGCTATTGGATTATCATTCCAAATCAATGCAACCACATTCGTGGAAGATTGATACGAGCTAAAATGGCCAGTGGTGTTCAAAAATATATAATAACAACAGCAAGCTTTATCTAATTAGGTGTGATTAGCTATACGAATTGTATGGCACTATTTTATTCTATCATCATCCAAGCTTATGAAATGTTATAAGACTATTGTGAAATGAAAATCATTGCCAACTGTATATAGGTTGTTGGATTATCATTCCAAATCAATGCAACCGCATTCATGGAAGATTGATACAAGCTAAAATGGCCAGTGGTGTTCAAAAATATATAATAACAATAAGCTTTATCTCATTAAGTGTGACCGGTTATATGAATTGCATGACATTATTTTATTCTATCATCATCCAAGCTTTTAATATTGTTAACCAAAAAATCTTGTTCAACAACTTCCATAAATATTTTCTTTATTCTTCATCTACCTCTCTTTACAAAACTCAAAATTATTCATTCCACTCTCCTTACTGATGACTCCTACAACTTTCTTTGTGTATATTAAAACCATCTCAAATAATTTTTTATCATTTTTTTAATAAACGTCATGCTCACATTTTTTTATATATACTCATTTCAAATTTTACCTTTTTGCATATGCTTGCATATCCATCTCAACATTCTTATATTGATTGCTTCAAGTTTATGCTCCTATTATTCATTTAAAGCCCAACGTTTGCTACCGTATAACATAACTAATCTCATAATAATTCAATAAAACTTCTCTTTAAATATGATCTACCTATCTCACATCTCTCTTTGATTTCATCATAGGGAGCACATTGAGTGCTCATCAAATGTATCACCTCAAAACCATCCATATTAATTTGGACAGTCCAAATTTAAATATTTTTTATTTTTTTAATTACAAATTTAAAAAATTTAATAATTTTAGTAGCTACTAAAATGTACAGTTCACATTTAATCAAATTGATCCAAATTTAATATTAATTTTTTAATGATTTTTATAAATTGACCTTACAGATTTAATATGGACTATTTTAAATCTAACAATATAATAAGTTAAAAAGTTTTGAATCTAAACAGTACAAAATAAATCTATATGATTAATTTATAAAAATTTAAAAAAATCACATTAAATTTGAACTGATGTGATTAAATATTAACTGCACATATTGGTAATTAATAAATTTATTAAAAATTTTATCAATTTCTTTTTTTAAAAAAAAAACACTTAAATCTGAACCGCATTCCAGAGAGGTGATGAGTACCTGATGTGCTCCCTCTCATCATATTTTCTTAAGTTGCAGTTATCCATGTGGAAATTTTCAACATGTATATCAATCATTGCTGTAAGGCTTCAAAACAAACAATGTGAATCTAAAACCCGAGTCTTCTTTACAAGATATGTGAATCATTGTAAAGCTTCATAGCTTAGCAAGTTCTTGGGCTTCTCAAGAACTTCTGATCTTAGAGAATATTTGAAGGTGTCTTTGCACCATGAAAGGATCCTGAAGAAACCTATCAGCATGTCATTGACAAGGTCACAGCAGATGGAGCAATGGAAGACTTGCTCCCTAACTTGTGGGACACCACACTTTAATTTCTTCAGTAGTTTTTGACCTACCATACTACAGTATGTAAACATCTCTCTTACCTTTCACCACTTGTGATGAACTTGAACAAATGGCAAGGAATTTTCAATTTCTCATGGAACTCCTCGCTAGAGAAGATTCACCTCATTGCTTGGGACAAAAAGAGATTATGGCCTTCGGCATTAGGCACGACAAATTACAGAATCAAGCTTTTATGATGAAAATTGGCTAGGACTTGGTCCAGAACAAAGGCACTCTATGGGTGTGGAAATGATTTTAATATTTTATACCTTCTATTGCCTCTCGAAGCCTGACAGAACTAGTACAATTACATGGAAATGAGAAGCATGGCAGATTTACTCTCAATAATAAATATATGATCAATAAGATAGCTAATTAATTTGAATTTAAAACTACTAATATTTTGACAGACTAAAAAACTTCTAATATTGATACAATGCAATCCTGTGAGTTAAGCTAATTCTTACGCCAAAAAAACAATTATGTAACTTATGACTCTGATGAAATTATCCCGCCGTGCATTCTTGCTACCTATGTGAATATGACATGGCACAAATGGTAAAAAATCAGTAGGATGAATTCTCGCCTCACTTGTATGCACGGACACGGATTTCCCTGAAGCCATTTAAAACTTTGCTTTGTCGGTATATCTTCCCAGGAAAATCTTTTGAACCGCATCTCTCCTAGTATTCTTAACATGTCACTGACGCCGTACCAATCTGCTCATTTTGCACAAAGCAAACCATTTTCAGGTAAAGAATTTTTACAAAATCAAGGTGGGGTGACCAATCCATTCGTACACATTGATATCGACTTAATTCTCCTGAAACTGATGGCCACAACGAGTGCAGGTGTAGAAAGTAGTTTGCCCTTCATCCGCTGATCGCATCTGTAAATTAAAGTAAGAATATTATAAAGCCTGAACTGCTAAACTTGACCTTCATGTAAATAAATATATGCATATTTTCCTTATAAACAAGTGTGGATGGAATCTAAAAATTGAGTCGCACTGTTCATGATTCATCAATAATGTAGTTTGTTAGAATTCGTGTTATATGAAGATTCTTATAATACCTGTCTGGTATAAAAGTTAGCTTCCCCATGACCACATTTCTCACATTTCTTGTTCACCTGTCAAGAAAAGAAATACATCAATATTAAAATAATAATAATAAGCGAACCATGGATTGAAATTTGAAAGCAAAGATCATGTATGCCCTTAAATCAACCTTGGTGGTTCATTACCTTTGATAATTGCACCTTCTGCTCTTCCATTATAATAATTCCAAGCTCCTTTCTGATATCCTGCAAACAGAAGGGCACATAAAATTAGGAAATATCAGATTCAGCATGAAGTTTGCTACAGTTGCATTTATGGTGCCACAACAAATTTTGTTTTATTGATATCAAATCATCAACCTTCATCCACATTTTGGAATTACTAATTTCATTTATCACATTATATAATGGTCAAAACAAAAACTATATTTGAACAAAATGAATGAGAATACGATCTGCAGCTTATCTAAAGTAATAAATCATACCTCAGCAGAAATTGTGTAACTTATTTCTTTTCCTTTTATATCTGAAGACAAGGACAACCAGTTAGGGAATATTGAAGATCAGGTGAATCATGTTATAACTACATTTACATGATGAGATTTTAATACAAAAAGTATATGAAGCTACACATAAAGCTCAAAATGTACACGTATGTACATGACACAAAATGCTAAATCTGCAAACACCAACACACACACACACTTGACGCTGGTACATTCGGGTCAAAAACAAAAAAACATGGCACATAGATTTCATTAAGTTGGTTGGTACAGCAAATTCATCTCCATGCCTCTCATTTCTTAAAGATAAATCAAGGAACAACTTTGACAGTTCAACCAACTGCATCTTCAATTGCTATTGGACTGTTGGAAAGAAAAAGGGGACTCAGCCACTACTTGGAAAAGCCTTTTCTATTAAACATTAGATCCTGGTTTTTTTCCTAGAAAAACAGAAAATTAAATCAGACTTAGAATCCATATAAAAGCGCAGAACGCATCTAGTGGAAACCTAAAACTCAAGCACACAATGTCAAAAGCACCAAATCACTCACAGAAGAGAATGATCAAGAAATATTTGTAATACTAGGAAAAATAAGTAGCTTAGAAGCCTCCTGAAGGATGATGACATAAAGTTCACGTTCCAAAAGGCAATTTTTAAGAAACAAAAAAACTTTTTATTTTACTTGGATGCTGATTGCCAAGCATATAGACTGTCAGTTAAATACTGTAGTTAGCAGTTGCAAATGCAAACAAGTAGCCAAGTTGATATAACCATAAATTCAGCAGTTTAATTGGGGAACAACACTTTTGACATGCTGAAAAGGACAATGGGGGGACAATTATATAATTTGAGAATGGTAATTGAAAGGGGACACAAAGGTTTAAGATGCTAAAAAATGACCGTAGCAGAAGTTCCATGATATGAAAAATATTTTAATTTGCAAACAAATAAAAAATACAAATCCATCATAAGATGATATTTAAAGGCTTTACCATTAATGTCTCGCTTAGTTTCGCACAATGGGCATTTTGCATACTTAGTAGAAGGAACTTTCAGCATTGTCCCACACAAGTGACAGAACAGGAAATCAAGCCCTCGAGAATTAGCCATCAGCTTCTCCTCCAATGAATAATCTGCTGGCAACACTTTCTCAAAATTAAGGTATGAAGGTAATTGAAATTGAAATAACATGATAGTGAGTGGTTTCAGGTATAAACTTGAATTCATAGAGTAAAAAACTCAACAATCCAGCATACAATCAATAAGTGAACTCTGAGTATCCATAACCAAGTATAACTACTATCAGTAACTGTACAATTAGTGTAACTACTTGGCTAACTAAGTACTCCCTCCACTCCTTATTATAAGGCATCTTCTAGAAGGGATGGATGTCCTTATTATAAGTTGGGTATTGGAAAAATCGAAAATTTATTACATTTTCAGACAAAATTAACTACTTAATCACCTTTCCTTGCAATAATAATTGATATCATGACATAAACCAACAAGATAAGTGAACATAATATGAAAGAAAAACCCATGATCAAAAGCTTTCTTGTGTGTACAGTAGCAATGGTTATGAATTTACATGGATTGTTTATCTATTCCACTGATCAGGTGATTGCAATTCCCTCAAGAAACCATATACCAGAAGCTAATTGAAACAAAAGTTAACAGTTGCTAGCAGGGAGAAAGAGCTACAGTATGACAGGGCTAGTTAATACAAAGAAAACGAGATGGCTACTAGGTGCATGGTTCAAATAATATTATCGTGTATCACATTGAACTTAAGTTTAAAACTAGCAAAGAAATTAACCAAAGAAGGAAGAAGAAAATATACAGGTCTGGGCGATGGTCAAGTGAACGAGAGAACTCGGAGTGATAGTGGTGCGAACGCAAGAGGGGGGGTAAATGCCGAGGAGGAAGCCGCAGAGACGATGGTGCTCTGCCTCTCCCTCTCAGACTAATGAGAAGCCGGGCAACGACTACGAGAAGGACAAGCGCCGGGATGGGCAAACGGAAGAGCACGACGGCCGTGGGCGGAGACGGGAGAGGGAACTGAGTGAGTGGATTTGTGAAAATGGGATTAGGGTTGTTAAATTCAAACTCGCGTCGCAATTTTCTCACAGCGATCCGTCCAAGATTCCTTATTTATAGGCGTTATATAAATAAGTAATTATTTGCGTATAAAAAATAAGTATTTATTTTGAAAAAATTAATTATTTAATTTTTATAAGTTATAATTTTAATTTGATAAGCGTATTCATTAAAACTCAGTTGATTTGTAAAAAGTCCATTTATATTTAGATGTACATTCTTTTAAAAGTTAGTTTAATAAATTAAAAATCATTTGAACGATATATAATGAAAAGTATTTTAGATGCATAATGATTAAAAAATATGATTTTATAATTTATAATTTTTATTTTTATTATATACTCCTTCCGTTTAAAAATATAAAGCATTTTTAATTGAATTTCATCCTCAATAAAATAATTACCTACTTTTAAAGTAATTTTATTTTTTTATATTTATTTCTATTAAATACCCTACAATAAATATAAAGTTATTATTAATAAGGACATTTTAAAAAAAAAGTAATGATTACACTTCAAAAAATTAAAAATGCTTTACATTTTTAAACATCCAACTCCTTAAAAAATGCTTTACATTTTTAAATAGCAAAAGTAAAACTTTATTTAGTGAAAAATATATAAATAATATAAAATTTAAGATGATGAATAATAATTACATATAAATATTTGTATAAAAACATAATATTTGAATATATATATATATATATATATATATGTAAATATAAAGAGTATATAAGAGTATACTCTATACATATTTGTGTGTGTATTTAAAAAAAAATTTTGACAAGTTCCGTTGTATCCAAGAAAAATTGACATTTAATTTTATTCAAAATAATTAATAATTAATAAATTATGATCATCTTCAAAGTATAATTAGTATTCCCTTTATTCAAAAATATAAAAAAAAATTTGGAATTAGATGTTAAAAATATAAGATATTTTTAATATTTTAAAATATAATTCATGTGTGTTTTTTTAAAAGTACCTCTAATAAATAAATAATTTTATATTTATTTTAAAATAAAATATTCTCTTAAATAGAGGTAAATATAAAAAGATGAATTAATTTAAAAATAATTAATTACTTTATTAAAAATTAAAATTCAGTTGAAAATATTTTATATTTTTTAATAAAAAGAATAATGTGCTTAACAAAACAAAATGGTCTAGGAGGCTAATATGGCAACTCCAAAATTTTAGGATGTAGTTTGGTTTTCAATTTGTTCAAAAATTATTTTTTAAGACTTACAAAAAATTAATTTGAGAAAAGTTAATTATTATAATAAGATTTATGGTTGAATATGTTTTTATCAAAAATTGATAAATTGAAAAATATTTGGATAATATATAATCATAAGTACTTTAGATATATATATGTGTGTGTGTGTATTTATTTATTTATTAAAAAACATGTATTTTCAAAGGAGTTCCCCATTTTGTTTCTGACAAATACTTCCCCCGTTCTTATGCATAAACGATCTGTGAAGCTAAGTACATATAATATCTTTTTATAATATCTTTATCTTATGAACGAAAATGAAAGAGGGAACAAGAACTCGCGGACTGGGCTCACTTTCTTGTGGGTAGGTCCCAGTTCTTTTAACCTCAATGCAAAAGCAACTAAGGAAGAGCACAAAACGGAAATAACAGACCCACAAGACGGATCCATAACCTGGTAAAAGGCAACAAAAGAAGTCTGCCCAAATCAATCAAGCCCATCAACGATCAGAACAGCCAAAATGACTATGTCAACGGAGCTGCTAGAATGAAGGAAAATAGATAAATTTATGCACCTAATCCTAACGTCCGGAGAGCTGAAAATACTCGTACTAGAATCAAACAAAATTCTCAACCTCTTCTTATCCAATCAATAGATCATAGTAGACCACCAGACCCAATGAAAAGTCAATCAGTTGTTCCAGAAACCCTATTTAATGACATTGCTACAATGGATCACCAAACCGATGCCTTGGGTCCTGTTAAAGCAAATAAAATTCCTCATGAGAATTATGATGATGAGTTTTTGGATGATGATCTCTTGGATGGGGATTTCCAGAATTAGTCTCATAGTAATGATTTTGATGTTGAAGAGTTCAATGATGATCAAATTGAAGAGTCAGCTCAATCTTCCAACATGTAATCATATCTCAAGTTTATCTCCTCCTTTTATTTATTTTATGGATATTATTTGCTAGAATTGTAGAGATACTTGTTGTAAGAGCTTTCCTAAATATATTGGAGAGATAACTAAAAACTTATAATACTCAAATATTTGTCTTACTGGAAACTAGAGACAGTAGGGCAAAAGCAGATAATATTGTCACTTTGAAGCCACGGGTTATGCTAGTAATATCTGGATTTTATGAAATAATGATATTGTTAATATTAATTATATTCATTTTAATATTCAATTACTTCACTACAAAGTTAACATTTTAGCTACTAACAATAGTTACATGCTCTCACGTGTTTATGATGATCTTATTCCATATAATTGTGACCTTCTTTGGGATTCTATCATCTCTTTAGCTCACAATACTATTATTGATCCCTAGCTTATTGTTGGATATTTTAATTCTAACCTTTATTGTGAAGATAAGTCTAGCGGTGACAGTTATAATTGGAGATTTATGAAACAATTCAAACGCTGCATTAATTCTTCCAATCTTCTTGAATTAAATTACCATAGTGAAAGATTTACTTGTGAAAAAGGAAAGGTCAAAGAACGTTTGGATTGGGTTTTTTCCAACACAAATTGAAGACTTAAATTTCATCAGGCTGATTCTTTTCATCTTATCAAATATGGCTTAGATCATGGTCTGATTAGAATTCAACTGGAGAAAAAGGAACGTCATGACTACCACTCTATACCTTTTAGATGCCATGTGACTTGGATGCTTAATAACTCTTTCCACCCTCTGGTTAAGGAATCTTGGATAACTGAGGATTGGATTGAAAGGGCCTCTAATTTAGCTAATGCTGCCCCTAAATCGAACAAGGAGAAAATAGGCAATAGCTCCTTCAAAAAGAATAGAATCTTGTGTCACTTGGAAAGTATTGACAAAAGTAGAAATACCATGGACAATTACTTTTTAAGGAATCTGGAAAAATCGCTTTGGGAGGATTATAACCATACCCTCTTACAAAAAGAACTGATTTGGTTTTAAAAATATAGATGTAAATGGTTAAAATAGGGCGATCAGAATACTAAATTCTTTCATGCTACATCTGTGATTAAACAGAAAAGGAATCTTAAAAGATGAAGAAGGTAATTGGGTTCACGACCCTATCAAGTTGAAAATTATGGCTGCTTCTTATTTTGATAACCTCTTCAAGGAGGATACCAATGCCAAGCAAAATTTGATTACCGAAAGAAGCTTTCCTCTACTATCTTATACCCAACTTCAATGCCTTCACAAGAATGTGTTTGATGATGAAATCAAAAATGCCGCTTTTGATATTGGAACCTTTAAAGCACTTAGTCCTAATGGTATTAATATGACTTCATTCACACATATTAGGATGATTTGAAACATAGCATTTTTAAATTTGTCAAAAAGGTCTTCAATGATCCTGAATCTATTGGGTTAGTTAATGAGACTTTCATCACTTTGATCCCCAAGATTGATGACCCTACTTATTTGAAAGATTTTCGTCCTATATCTCTTTGTAACATTAGCTATAAAATTATGACTAAAATTCTTTTTAATCGCCTTTGGGCCTATATGAATCACTTAATCGGTGATAATTAATGTGGCTTCATATAGGGGAGACAGAGTAGTAACAATATCATCATTACTCAAGGAATCATCATTACCCAGGGAATCATTCACTCTATGAGAAATAAAACGGGTGAAAAGGGATTCATGGCTATTAAAGTGGATATTGAGAAGGCTTTTGACAAACTTTCTTGGAATTTCATTGACGATACTCTTAAGTTTATTTGATTAAGTAATCACCTTAAAAACCTAGTCTATGCAGCCATCTCTACCATACGAATGCGGGTCCTTTAGAATAGAGTTCCTTCTGAGGAATTCACATCTTCTCGAGGCATCCGCCAAGGGGACCCTCTTTCTCCTTACCTTTTTGTGCTTTGTATGGAACGTTTAGGTTATTGCATTAATAGTAGCATTGATAAAAATGAATGGATGCTGATAAGACTAACAACTAATGGGCCTTTAATTTCTCACTTATTCTTTGCTAATGACCTTTTACTTTTTGCAGAGTGTTCACTATGTCAAGCCATGATCATACAATAAGGTCATTCTGAATTTTGCAATGCCTCTGGGAAAAAGATTAACACTGATAAATCCAAGCTCTTTTGTTCTAATAATGTTAATATCAATAGAGCTATGCCAATTAGTGATGAGTTAAGGATTCCTCTCACTAGCAATCTTAGCAGATATTTTGGAATTCCCATTATTCATAAAGGGCTTCCAAGATTACTTTTACCCCTCTTCTTGATAAGACAAGCTTAAGGTTGTCTAACTGGAAAAGCCATTATCTAAACTTAGTCAGGAAATCTATTCTCATAAAATCTATTCTTTCGGCTCTCCCCAGCTACATCGTGCAAATTATGCTCCTTCCTGACAATGTTCTACTTGAATTGGAAAAAAGTTTTAGGAGTTTTCTTTGGAATTCTTCTGATGACATAAAAAAAACCGTATCTAATCTCTTGGGATTGTATTACTAAGGACAAAAAGGAAGGTGGTCTTGGCATCAAGAAGCTTAAGAATTAAAATATTACATTCATCATGAAACTCTATTGGGGCCTAATTTCAAAACCTAATTGTCTCTGGGTGTGTATCCTTTGTGATAAATACAAATGCAATAAACCCAAAATCATAATAGTTGTCAAACCTAATTCTTGCTCTTATACTTGGAGTAGTATATGTAAAGTTTGGGATAAATTTATGCATAATGTTGGTTGAAAATGATAAAGGAGATCAAATATCTTTCTGGTATGATCTGTGGTCTCCGCTCCTGAAACCTCTTATTAATTATGCCCTACCCAATGCTG